TTATACAAGTTTTCTTAGGATGGAATTCAGGGGATGGAAAATTTTAGGTGTATCATTTTTATGTTATCTAATTAGTTTATTATAATCTATTTGATATATTTTTCATTATTTATGAATCTTAGTGTTGGAATAAGTACATATAAATATTTTAAATATTTCACAGTAATCGATTATTAATTGATTATATCTATCAACGGTAGCATAGTGGTATAAATAAATAAATAGTACGATTGCAACCTAGTTTAATAAATAAAATAACCAACTGTTACTAATATTTTTTTATTAGGTACTTACAGTCAATTACCCTTTTCTTATATAAAAATATTTGCCGCAACGGCATTGACCGAGCTTATCTCCAGTGAATAATTTCAGGCAATGCACACTTTTTATAAAACGCTTGTAACTTGGGTAACAAATTCAAAATCCAAAATTTGTCGTTTTTGTAGATTTTTAGTACTTTTACTGCATAATCTGGGCCAGTCCGCATGGGAAGCATGCAGATATTTTTATTCTCCATTATTTTTTTCTCCAGAGATAGGATATTTATTTTTATTACGTTTAGTGACACATTGATACTTGTATTTATTTTACCCCATTTCGACTGAAAAGAAAGCTCAGCTACAATCAAAATATCTATAGTGAGTTGATTATCTGGTATAATAATAATGTGCGAACTTTATACTAATTGAAATATACTGTACGAAAGTAAATAATTCCAACGATCAAAAATTGCGGGCATAGTTGGCGATGCTCTAGCACAAAATAGAAGCGTCACGGTCATCGACGCACACGATTATATCGAAACGAGACAGAGCGCGCGAAATAAGTTGGCACAGGTTCGGGAGTCGCTCGAGAGTCGCTGGCGCGGTGTTGTGTTCCGATGGCCGACCCAGTGAAATATATAGTACTTTTATTTAACTAATTAAAAATAATAATAACGATTTTAATAGTAAAAATCATAGTAACAATTCAAAATATTAAAAAAAAAACTGTGAGTGCCAATACGCCAATTTTTGCAGTAGCCAATGTTCCAACTTGGAATTTTGATAGATTGTAATTTGAAAAAAAAAACTTGTTCTGCCTAGGCTGCACTGGTTTATCTCGCCAGGATCAAATAGATGTTTGCAGCTTTGGGATATCCTAAGAGCCACCTGCATCTTGACCTATTGTCGCAGATAATTTATATTATCAATAAAATACTTTTTCAAATAGAAAATATAAAAAAACAGGTTTTCTTAGATCTAAGTTGCTTTGTCCTAAAATCGATTGACAATAAACTTATTGTAAAAAAAAAGGTTTTTTTCCATACTACAAGTATTAAGTATAAGTAAAGAAAATGATGATACAGCGAGGCTAACCGACTATACTTTGATAAATAACATATTGTATTTACTTCTGACATGAACACTCATTCATTTATTTAAATAGATGAGAGTGATGTGAAGCGATGAGTGAGTTAGTGATGATGTGTATTCAGCAGAGATGGGAGATATGACAAGGATATTGAACGACGAGTGAATGCAAGAAATAAAGTAAATGGGGCTGTACATGTGAAAAGTCGGAATGTGTCAAAAAAGGCACGTATGGCAATTCACAATGCTGCATTAGGCCCCACTTTAACGTATGGTAGTGAAAGTTGGCTGTGGCAGAAGAAGCACGAGAGTAGAATAAATGCAGCAGAAATGTGGTCGCTAAGGAGTATGTTAGGGTAGAATCTGAGTGACAGGGTGAGAAACTGTGTGAAAAAAGAAGAGTGTGGTTTGAAAGATGATGCGGTGACCAGGAATAAGAAAGGAATGCTTCGGTGGTTTGGTCATGTAGAAAGAATGAATGAGGAAAGACTGACATAGCAAATATATGTTGCAGAAAAGAATGGAAGAGTCACACAGGGATGTCCTAGTCAAAAGTTTGCCGACCGAATGGGTAATATATTAAAAATGGGCCAAATTAAGAGTACCCTTAACCGACGAGCATGTATCCGTAGGTATATGTGGAAAAGGCGAGAGAGGTATGTCAGGATCGTGCTAAATGGAAGTCTGTAGTCTCTGCCTACCCCTTTGAGTGACAGGCGTGAGTGTTTATGTTATGTTAGATGAGAGTATTTATCGACATACCCTCACTCAAGCGTTAACTACGATTCTTGGTCAAAATTAGATACTTCTTAAAAACTTCTTACTCAAAAATACATTTGACCCTTTGTAGCAATAACAATTAGTTTTTCCTGGGAAAGTTTTGTCTTTATAATAGGTATATACCATAATAAATTATTATACTAATGTTGAAAACTCGCTGCCCGCGGTGTAACAAATAGGAAAACAGGACGCCGTGCAGGGGCATGCCTGCCGTAAGGCCTGCGTAAATGTGACAGAGAGTGCAAAGCGCAACAGGCGGCGTCCTTTTCCCCCATTTCATTGCACGGCCGACAGCTAGTCTTTAGAATAAAGCCCCCTCTATACTACTCGCGAAGTTACCTCAACGAACGAAGTACTTGTCAAAGTTGATCGCATGCCGAAGGACGTGACTACACACTCGTGCTACTTCGCTGAGTGCACAGTTGCCGTGAGTCGCCCTCCCGCTGATAACATGAATAATATCCAAGAGGAAACTGCTGTTATTAAGTGCGCACCTACATATGAACATTACGACGTCAAAGCGTTAGCGTAGCCAAGTAGTGTACTGAGATGCTTCGTGTAACTTTGAGGCCTGGCGAAGTCCCTTTTGACTTGGGCGCAAAAAACTGACAGCGATCGGAAGTTGCCCAAAGCAAATCGAGGTTGCACGAAACGAATCGAAGTACCTCTCTACGCTATTCTCCTCGCCCAATTCCGATCAACTTCGCGAGTAGTGTAGAGCACACTTTTATATAATAACTACAATAATCATTAACTAGGTATACTGGAGTTTCGAATATTACCGCTATGACATACTTCTCAGTTACTATACATTTTTTCAAGATTTTTCTCAAAGTATAAAATAATACTATGAAGCGACGATTAGAAATAAAGACAAAAAAAAAAACAAATATTATTATTTCATTTAAATGTTGGCCTTATCATTCCTTATTTCAAATTTCCAATATTTTTTAAACAACTGGCAACACTGGTTGGCGTGGGTTTTGGTAGTATTGTTAGCGTGGGTTGATTGATAATTATTTACTTAAATATTTACTTTAAAGTGTACTAAAAACGGCATCCAAAATCATAAAACGCATTATGGGTAAGTTTAAAAAGTACTTATCATATGTAATGTGATTCCACTTTTGCATTGTTATTGATTGATGTCATTTGTCCGGGGTGGCCTCATCACCATTCAATTATAGTTTATTTGTTGTATATAATTTTGTGCATATTAAATTCAACAATGAAACCGAAGCGATACTTTATATATAAAATATTCACACTATTGTACTAATTACGAATTAAGTTTAATTTTATTACGTTGCGCATGGCTCATTACATTTACGTTGTTTTTGAGATTGAGTAGCATCAGTGTTCAATTCAGTGTCAAATAACCCTTTTGAATCAACAAACAAACTTGAGAATTTGCATGTGAAGTAAAGAAAAACTAGAATCGTAACTTCTTTATTCCTTTGATGTACATAGTAAATATAATTTTTTAAACTTCACACTAATACTACTTATTTTTAATTATGACGTTAGCAGCATCTTATAATAATTGTAATATATTGTACCTACGTTTTTTGAAAACTAAATCTAACTTACGTGGTCTGTATGTTTTTACATTCTTCTATTCATTAATGTTGTACCATAACATGTTTACACATTAAATTATTTGATTTATATTTGACTGTGTATTATAATAAAGCTTCCTGCAAGTTAGTGGTTTTCAGTTGGTGATATAACAAACTAAAACATAAATATTGTGAATTGTCCACTAATGGAAATTTGTTGCAAATAGAATCTTGTAAATGAAATTTAGTCAATATGAAAAGAAATCAAAGAATTTCTTTTTCTTAATTTCTTACAATATACATGTGCATAACTTTGTTTGAATATCAATTTAAAAATAATATTTCTATATATTCATTACTTATTAAATATCTGGTATTCCAACTATTATACTATAGTTATTTTTTAATTAATATTTCTTAGTTAAATATTCATATCTTGTCATATCTTGTGTTATTTTTTTTTCAAGAGATTTAAAATTATGATCTTACTGAGAATGTTAAAATAGGTCAAAAATACTGCATTTCATGTTTGACATTATACTTGATTTATATTACTTATATCTGACCATGACTGCATGGCCATTTTTATTACCTATATATTTTTTTAAATTAATATTATTGTACCTTATGCTAGCTGCTGTGCGTGTTGTAATATCATCATTATGGCAGTCCATTTCCAGTTCTCAAGAGTTTAATACAAAGCATGGTACTGAGCCATCTGCACGCATTAAACCTTAAACATTGAGTTCTTTATAAAAGCAAGAATTTCATTTTATAAAATGTATAATATCCAAATTAGTGCAATCTTTAAAAGGGAATTAAGTAATTTTCTCATCAGTATCTTTGACTTTAATTTAGTATTTTACATTTATGATTTTTTTTCACATCCAATGATTTTTTTTAGCTTACCTGTATTAGATTGTGTTTTGTGACCTTTAACTTTAAAAGCATTTGCGACATTTTTGTTTTATTCCTTTGTGGGTTGAAGACTAACTTGACAAGACATTTGACTTGCTTATTGGAGAAAATTTTCTTTATGAAATAATGATAGACTTTCATTTTTTTGTATTAAATGTAACTGGAATATGTATTAAATATTCTATTAACTTCTCAAAATTCCATTTCAGTAAGGCGTCTAATCTTTATATAACAAAAAAGAAAAAAATCAGGTTAGTGCTAGTTTTGTTACAATTATATAAACCTACACCAACCTTTGACATTTATTGCCAAATTTGCTTCATCACAGGTGGCCATCATGTCACAGCAATATAGTCTAAGGTGGAATAATCACCAGCCAAACTTCATTTCTATGTTCACAACTCTACTGAACACACAGACACTTGTTGATGTAACTCTTGCTGCTGAGGGCAAGCATTTACAAGCCCATAAGGTGGTCCTATCTGCTTGCAGTACCTATTTTCAGGTAACATCTTTAAGTTTGAATTATTGTAAGAATAGCAATAGACATAATGTTGAAATAATAATGTTAGTACCTGTATAATGTGTAATAATGTTGATAATTATTTATAATTCTATAAAGTTTATAGTAATTTATTTCTAATTTGCTTTTTGTTTTCAGGCTCTTTTTGTAGATAATCCTTCTCGACATCCAATTGTAATCCTAAAAGATGTATCATTTTCTGATTTACGCACCATGGTCGACTTTATGTACTATGGTGAAGTGAATGTAACAGAGGAGCAATTACCACAGGCAAGCAAATACCAATATAAAGGACAATGTCGACTCCCAAACAAATTTTAGTTGACTTTTTTTCATGCGTATACAAATGCAAAATATTATAGAGTTTAAAATTTGCTTGTCTTAAATGACGAATCAAAACAACTACATACATCAACTAGTCAATTAAGTTTTGAATTGTGTATGATAATTTTTTTTCCAGACTTCGTTAGGCCACGAGCTTTATTTGATAATACATAGTAAATTATTTTATTGATATCTGTAATGGTGACAGAAGTAGAAGCTTAATAATTCCATCAACAATTTGCCACAACAACTAGTCAATTAAGTTTTAAATTAGGTAGGATGATATTTTTCCACACTTCGATAGGCCATAATCTTGGTTAGATAAAACAAAGTAAATTATTTTATTGATATCTTTAATGGTGACTTCAGTAGACGCTTAATAATTCCATCAACTATTATTTCGCCATTGTCCTTTTATGTATATCGAAACTTAAAAGGTGTGTATATTGAGCTATAGTTATTCATATTCGTTTTTATTCAGGTACTCGATACAGCTAAACTACTGAAAATCAAGGGGCTGACTGAAATGCCAGATTCTACATCTCTTACACGGTCCCAAGGTACTTCAGCTGACTTTCAGTCTCCTGGTGACTCAATAGACTCCCAAAGGCATTCTGCATCACCAGCAGCATCACCCTCTAATAAACGCAGAAGGTGTGTGTATTTTAATAATTTAAAATTGATATCATAAAATAGTTTAAATCTTTAATTGTATACATATATATAAAACTAATACTAGCTTTTTACCCGTGGCTTCACTTGCATGAGCTTTAATTTAGAAACATCATTAAAACTGCTCTGTGCCAAAACTAGCAAAGGTATCTGTATCTCCCTATGTCTGTTTGTCACAGGAACTCGACTTTCTTTGAGACAAAAAAAAGACTACCAATGGGGCTGCAATCATAGAAGGTGTAGAAAATAAAATATATTCACTTCCATGCATTGATACATAGTTGTAGTATAATATAATGTGAATACAAAATAAATTATACATCATACCATAGATTTATTATAAAGTAACATATTAGATTGGCAATACAAAAGATAATATTCATGGGTGGCAGTAGTTACTTAACATCAGATGAGCCGTACGCTTGTTTACCCCTCCTATAAAAAAATTAAAATGAGAAATAGTAAAGTGTACATGGATGTAGGAGTGAGAAAGAAAGACATCATTCACAAACACACTATCAGCCTGTGTGAAAATTGGTGTTTAATTGGTGTAATGAATTATGACTATGTAGTTACTAAATAGACAGACAGAAAAAAAAAACCTCTTTATTTCCAATAAATATTTTGGTATCATTTACAGACGCCGAAAAAGTTCAACTGGATCAACATCTTTAAACATGGTGCCAGATGATAATAGGAATGATGAAGCAGGACAGTCAGTAGACTTAATGCGGGGGGAATCCATAACATTAAGCAGTTTGCCACAGCAGAGACGCATGAGGGAATATCAAGATGAACGCATGGATAATGCTCAACAGGTATAATACATATCATACATAACATATCATTTACATATGTAAAATGTAAACTAATAAGTATAAATAAAATAGAAAAAATAATTTTACAAATATCTTAATTTTTAATATGATTTTCTTACAGACTCCAGATCAACACAACCTTAATGTAGAGCCTTTAGCAATGGACAATAACCCCGCAGGGATTCCGCAAGGTAAGTTTATTATATTCCTTAAAGTATATCAAATTGTTATTTATGATATGTGTGTGTGTGTGTGAGTCCTTCTAGACTTAAAGCTATTGCATCTTTTAAGTGAATCTGTGTGCCAAGCATTTGGTGAAAGATGTGATAATAAGCTAAAGGAGGGTGTAACATGTACAATCGGTTTGATAAACATTAACAGGAATTACAAGTTCGATAACAAACCTCAAGCTGGTCATTCTTGGAATTACATGACGGCAGATTGCTTTAGCTAGTTTAAGAGAGTTGATAATAAGTATCTGAATATTGAGAATGAGAAAATAGGTATGATGTTACATTAGAAAAAGAATTGCATTAGGAAAAGTATGGAAAGTCAGTTGCTGGATTCCATATATAATATTGTAGGAGCACCGACACACAATGGTTTCATAATTAAATTGAGGGTGATGAGAATTGGTTTCTCTTCCTTAAATTTGCACGCTAAAATACCTTGTGGATGGTAAAAGCAAAACACAAAGCCTACCTTTTGCAGAATGTTGGTAGTTTAGTTTACGACTCCTTCTGGCCAGTTCATTTACTGCATCGTTGCCTCTAGATACATTCTGTTCCTTAATCCATTGTAGTCACATTGTTGTGCTTACATACCTCATATAATAGTTGATGGCATTCATTTATTAGTCCCGAGTTCACCACATAACAACTCAGAACTTGTATTACCACCATACTGTCGGTCAGTATTCTGATGGAGAAGTCTTTTACCTTCCTAGCATCTACTGCTGAGGCCGCTTGGATGATACCCATACATTCAGCCTGGCAGACTGTGTTATGGGTACCCAGCGGTGTACATATGTGGATATTAAGGCCCTTCATTTATTTTAAAACCATCCGTGAAAACTCTAAGCTCTTTGGGTTTAACCCCTCCAGATGGTCAGTTTCATTCAGTTGTATCTTGTACTACTTATCGAATACAAATTGTCTTGGGATCTTATAGTACTTGGCTTGTAAGATAAGAATTTTTGAGTAAATTTTATTAATTATACCTGTATGGGGGACTACTCCTGCTTAAAAGAATTAGGGTTTTGAGTCTAATGGCAGCTAAAGTTGCTTCTTGTTGTTTATGTCTGAGGCTATACTGGGGTCAGCCCCAGTATAGCCTCTAAAGCTGCTGTCGGTGTAGTTCTAATGCAGCCCGTGGCAGCCATACATGCCAATCTCTGGTAACGCTGAAGCTTTTTTACTGTGGTGGCTTCATTAGTTTTGGTCCACCATACCAGACAGCCGTATGTGATCATGGGCCGAGTTCAATTTTAACCCCTATGCAAAAGACCCCCCACGGAAGGAGGACCCCCCAGCCCCCCCCCCCAGAAAAAAGTACAGCCACAGTATAATTTTTGGCATCAAACCCCATCTTTGCCAATCATGTTTCTGCATTGCCAGAAAGTTTATACTAGTTTTGTTGATTTTGTTTTCTATGTGTTTATTCCACTTAAGTTTACCGTTCAAGGATAGTCAATTATTGGATACCTTCTGCCTCTCAAAAGATCGTCGTCATGATCTTTCCGGCCGATTGAGACATCTTATACTTCTTAGGAAGGGGTGTGTCTTTTTTATGCTACTGCATCGACTCTTGCTTTGACTCGGTTCATAATAAAATTGGGACCCATAACTTCCTCCCTTTACTCTCTACAGCAGCGGTCCGAAAACTCGCGACAACTTACGTCGCGCTCGTGTTTTTGATGCGCAGGAAGCATTCTCGGAATCCATCTTGCAAAGACTTTAATCATGCCATGGTGTTGATGCTAGGATGTTTAGCTGTTATTTCTTTAGCCGGTTTTTCGATTATTTCTGGCGTGATAGCCTCAATCGGTCGTCCAGGTTGGGGGTCGTCTTCAATGGTATCCCTCCCTTGTTTGAAAAGGGTGTGCCATTTATAAATCATGGTTTTCCCAGGAGCGGAGTCCCCATAACAAGATGACATCTCTTGAAAAATGGTTTGAGGAGTCTTTCCTTGTTTGGTGAAAACTTAATGACGGCGTGATATTTAATTTTCTCCATAGTGGCTAGTTTCTTCCCGATTGATTTGTTTACTCGTTAATAACTCAAAAGCTAATGATCATTTAAATTATACAAGTTTTTACGGATTTTATTGCTTATATTAGGATGACTCAAGATAACAGCAGTGTTTTGCGGAAAAAAATCGGTTGGTACAGTATATTATGAATGGAATGGACACACATGATAACTTTATTCAATATTATTACATATTTTATTTATTTAATAAATTTGTTTATTTTGTGTTTAGGCCATCTAACATCTATTGTACTTACCACTTTGAAAGTCAATAAATACGCGTACAACCTTGAGAGTCTCGTCAATTTTGGTTCGACTTCAATAAAATGAGAATGGCTTTAATCTTTTTAACTATAGAACGAAATAGACGGCGCTATTCATTACAAACATAAGCAATTTTAGTGGAAAGAAAATATTGTTTTGATTTAGACCATTAAAATTTAGGCTTAACATATGTGTCTAAAAATAAGGATTATAACTTTTATTTGCTATAAAATTAAATTTTTATCTGTCCGGTGAACGCATATTTTCCCAAGCAGGGTTAACAATATTATGTAACAAACGCAGTAATTTGAAGCCCAATAAGGCAGAGCAATACTTATTTGTAAACTGCATTGTGAACCCTACACTAAAATAAAATGTTTTATTATATATTTATTAGATTTTATATTTTACTAGCTTTCCAACCCGCGGTACCATCCACGTTAAATCAATTTTCCTGATAGTAAGTGTCGATCATCGTCCACGAAAAACTGCAACACCCAGGAAATGCCGGCCTTTTTCAAAGAAATAAACTTGTTTCTTGGAGGTCTTTAAATCGTGTCGGTCCGGAAAAATCACCGATGATAGATGATGCGTTGGTGGGATTTGGCGGTTGGAATTAATCCAAACTATTTTTCAAAGTACTCCCTACGAAAATGCGGTAAAAAATGCAATGTCATGCAATATCTCTTCGCAGCGCGAGTAAATCAAGCCGATCAGAAAGAACTCAGTCGTCGACGATTCGGACCACTCGCTCGCTGCATATGGTCAATTGAAGGGAGCTGGTACTGGGATGCCCCGGTCCAGAGATAGAGCAACACTCCGTGTGAGGGCGAACTTGCGCCTTGTAAATACAGGCCTTGGCTAACTATGATTATGCGCCCCCCAACGTTCTTTTCTGTGTGTGCCTGCCCAATCCACGAATATATATTTACTAGATTTTTATACTTCACTAGCTTTCCACCACGCAGTTTCACGCACATAGTAAGCGACGACCATTGCTTATAAAAAACTGCACCAGAGAAATGACAGGTTCGTTGCTAGCCTTTTTAAAAGGGGTAAGCTCGTTCCTTGAAGATCTCTAAGTCGTATCGGTCCAGAAAAATGCCAGTGGTAGATAAATCCACAAAGAAGTCTTACGAGGAAGAAAACTCCTAATAAATCGCACAGTCATGGTGGACCGGCACGCATCCAAGTGGTGTGGATAGTACCGGTGTGCTTTGGTGGAATTTGGTGGCTGGAATTAATCCGAACAATTTGTCTAAGTACTTCCCGCGAAAAATGCCATAGAATATGCAATGGGATGCAACATTTCTTCACAGCGCACAACGAGCGTTAGGCGTCTCGAGAATTATAAATCTTTGAACCATTTTACGGCACTAATCAACACGACGGAGTTTTTGGGCCTCTGTCAAATATGTTATGATTTTGTGCACTTGACTCATACCGATGCCTAAGCTTGTCCGAATCTACTGATAGGTAACTCTTTTGTCATACTCTATCATACGCCGCACAACACTGATTTTATCTTCAGTTGTCGCCGTAGAAGGCCGTCCCTCACGTAGATCATCGGTGAGATTAGTGCGACCACGTTTAAACTCATTAAATCTGTTTTAAACAGTGGCACGAAATGGGGCTTCATCGTGAAAAGCCAATCGGAGTCTATCATAATTTTCTTGTTGACTTAAATGACATCGAAAGTCATAAAAAATAATTGTACGAAAATATTCTCGCGTTAAATTTATGCTGACGTGACACAGACATTTTTCAATTTGCGTAAACTAATGACAAATTAATAAAATACATACACAATAATATTGGCAAAGAGTTCCATTTTCATGATTTGAACTTATTTTTTATTATATCGTTTACAAGTGGCCAGTTCTAAAAACTTTCAGTGTCGTCTTCGTAGTGCTCTGTCCTCGTAGATGCATGGCAAACGTCAGACAGAGCGCCGAGCGACGTAACCTCTGGAAAGCTTAGCGACGGTCTAATTTGATTTCATCAAAACGCGGAAATTTTATAGTATTTCTAAAATATTTATAGAAAAGGAATAACGCTATTTTATTTTTAATTTTGAAGGGTAAGGGTTAAAAAAGATGTTAATTTTAGATGTAAAATTAAGTAACATAAATTATGAAAGTAATCGTTTCATCCACAGAATTTTCATAAAAATTGCACATGATTTATTCTTTTTTTATTATTTTTTTTAAATTTCTTAGGTATATAACCTAAATCGAAATATCTTTTCTTGTAACAACTTTTTTCCTTGGGCGTCTGTCAAATTGATTGTATTTTTTGTTTCTAAAATTTGTCAGCGATTTCAGATATTTTAAGCTTTGAATTTGATCCTTAAAGGGAAATTAAGAAAACCTCTGTTTAGTTTTCTTGATAACATCCACAAAATACTGTATTAATGTAAAAAAATCTTTTATAATTATAACTATTTACACTATAAAATTTGCTAAAGGTATGTGTAATTAATATTTGTATGTCATAAGTGCTGGATGGACATTAACAGGTTTGAAAAGTACTGTGTTGAGCTAATAAGCGCTTGGAACGTATATACGTCCTCAATAATAAAATTCACTTAAATTTGCGTTACTTTGCAATTTATAATAGGTATTAAATGTAGCGCGGAGGCAGAAGATTCTTGCCATTTAAAAAATTTAAGTAATGAGTGGGTAATAATAGTACACTGCGCGCGTGCTGCCATTCTTTGAGAACATGCCTTGTAAGTACTGACTTCTCATTTTCTAATAATATTATCGTATTCCTAAAATAGTTTTTAAATTTTAAATAGTTAAATAAAACATTGCTCTTGTATAACAATAACATAAAAATTCACTTTATAGTAAAATATTAAAAAAAAAATTAAAAAACTATATTGTTCTTTAACAAATGTTATTATTAATTATGAATATTTTTTCAGGTATGAGAATCAATTATTATAAGAAGAAAAGGGATAATTAGTTATTATTAAAATTATCTGGGGTATTTATATAGTGTTCTATTTATAATGTGAAAAATGATAAATATACACAAATATACAGGTTTATTTTTCAGAGTAACCAAATTTTAAACTAAGTTCAGATATATAAATTATGATATACTGTTATTGAAGTTTTTGGAAATACGAGTAAATAAGGCTTCTACTTTTATTTAAAATTATCTTAAATTGAATGTGATTTATGGGCAACAACGTTTTTGCCTACCGACCGACCCTAAGAATTTATGCGAGCGCAGTAAAATCAGTTAAAATGATACATTACCACGCATTTTGAATTTAAAAGATAAAAAGCACACAATGTTTGAGATTTTTTTATTTGCCTATATTACTTATTCTGAACCTTCTCTGTAAATTTGGCAAGTCATTGCAAAATAACCCTTGGTTAAGGAGAAGCTGGAGAATCCAGTGCAATGAGTTGGAACACTAATTTTATGATTAGAGTACCGTAGAACTCTTAAGAACTTAAGAAACTTAAGATATAAAGGAGATGCTGAATTGTTTAATATAGAAAAAAGAACAAGCAGAATTCTAGAATTGTGCCTCTGATTGTGAGCTGTATAAAGCGATTACCATAAAGAGAAACATGATCGACAGTGGAATCTCGGTTATCCGGACCAAAAAAAAACCAGGGGTATTCCTTATAATCGAAAATCCGGATAATGGATTCCAAAGTCAAATAAAGCAAGCGGTTTGCCGCATTTCTTTATTTCCTTTTCGCATTTCTCTCACTTAGCGGTTCTATCAAAGGAAAAGCACTTACCGCAGTGGGGTTCCTTACGGCCTCGTGGACGACGCTCCTTTTCTTGTGTGGTCTTCTGTATGATGCGTTGGAAGAGGGCGGTGCGCGACGATAACTCTCACTATGCGAAGCGGTTACATCTAGCGGTTCTGTGGCCGACTGCCACAGAGGTGCAATAACAACTAGCGGTTCTCTTCGACTACGATGCAAGAAGGGCTGAGTGGCAGCGGTGCGCGTCCATATATGGGCAGGCCAATTCTACTACTTCTATCTCGGCGGGACGCGCTTCTTATTGGCCGAAAAGGTGGCACCACATTCTAGACCCCCATTTTTGGCCCCACCATTTTTCTGGTTCCTTCGTGCAGGATTCGAGGGAACAGCCTGTCGCTCAACCATCGGGATTCTACTGTACTTTCGAAACCTGTATAAATATTTGATGCTCTCTTTTGAGAAACATTTTAATGTTCCTTTTTTGATAACAATATCATTATATTCTCCTACTATCACCGAATCATTACTTAAACAAAATGTAAAGGCTTATTTAAAATACTTTGAAATTACATAGAGTATTGCCAAATGATATAATTAAATATTTTAAAACTATTGATGTTAAGAAAATGGCAGACTTATGGGGGATTTACATTAAAGTTATTGCATCTGTAATAGATACAAAATGATCTACACTCTGTAATACACTGGGAACAAACACAAGCTAGTGATACCAGTTTCTCGAATCCACAGAGTCAGTAATTTATTATTGGGGCAATGTATATGCTATTAGAACAAAGTCCCAGAAAATATACAAGGTGAGAGACCTATTACAAGTTTTAAATATTTAATTAAACAAAAACTGTATAAAGAGGGTTATTTATAATATAAATAACCCTCTTTATACAGGGTTATTTATAATATAAATAATAAAATAAATAACGGGGTTGATAATAACCCCAGGGAATGAGGTTGTTGCTTCCAAGCGGTCACTAAATTAAATTTTGTAAATATTTTGTAATCATTCAAATTGTAAAATTTATTTTAAAAAAAAGTTCCGCTGGGTTTCTTGTTGGTTCTGCCCAGGACAGGTATTTTTTTTTCAGAACCAGTGGTAAAGTAAAAATTACTTTAAATAAGAATTATATGTAATCTATATCGAATAAAAATTATTCTATTCTTTTCCATTCTAATGCAATTATTAAGGCGACGCTGTATTCTTGTGATTATGGTTATGACATTTCTTTGTTTTGTTATTAAATATTTGATTGTCAAGTTTTCCATTTAAATTATTTATTCATCCTCTACCTTTTATCCTTTTTTCCTTTTCGCTAATGATTATCTCAGCTTAGGTTCGGATCACACGAAATACAAACATGTCTTATAATAGTCATTTTGATTCCCAAAATCTGAGATTATATTTATATACTCGACGACTCGGTTTAGTGTGTGGTGGTGCTGCATCATTTGCACTCGCACACTGCCTACGTGTTGCATACGGAACAAATGCGCTTAAAAAGTCTCCAATTCAGTATTATATTACAAATACTGCTTGCGGCATTGCGAAACACGCACATGCTACGATAGAGACACATTGACTGCATGTCACGTCATTGTGATTGTATAGGCAATGGGTTAGTCACCTATGACTGTTTTCACAGTTTTCTACAGTCAGAGTTGCTTGCTGTTCTTTGGACTTTGATTACACTTTTACTGAACATTCAAAATTTATGGACGAAATTTGCCATTTTGTATTTACTAGCTTGACATATTATTATAGTGACTTTCAAAAAATTTAACCTATAAGTTTTGTAATTTTATCTCTTACAATCCTCAATAAAATTAATATACCCACAGCATGAGATTCTGTGTCTTAAACTTAAAATGTAGATGCTCTTTGTTATACTTTAGGCCATCAATCTCTTTATAGATAAATTGCAAATTTTGTTTTTTTTAACCTTTTGGTATTTTGAAATATTTGAATGTCTCTAAACAATTAAAAGTATATCGGGTGCCATAATCTTTATTTTCAGGGAAGGGAGATCAATGAAAACTAATTTTAATTTAAATGTTCCTTGTTTTTTCTTAGTAATTATTTTCAAAATCATTTATCTCTCTTCCCAGGAGGCCAATGGAGTATGATGGAGCACACATACCCCCGATACTCCAACGCATGCATCGGCGGAGGCAGCCTCCAACCGGATCCAGGAATGTACATCAATAACGTTATCAACCCGCACATGGATTCAGATATGAATGATTACGCTCAAGGTTTAGGCGTAACAGGCCCTTCGCCTGGTCCTAGCTGCGTCGCGGAAGCTCAAACGGCTCAAGAGGCGGTTCCACAAACTCAGCCTAAGCGTCGCCGCACAACGAATCCACAATCTGAAGAAAACTTCCAACGAGCGCTAGAAGCTGTCCGCTTTGGCGGCATTGGCTTCTGCAAGGCGGCACGTATGTTCGGGGTTAACAATAGGACGTTATGGCTTGAATACAAGAAGAAGGGATATCCAAACAACCGACCCAGCATCAAAAGCAGGATAAAACGTGAACATACCACACCACCGCCCGAACCAAAGGAGGAAGTGCCGCAGCCCGAACAACAGATGGCGCTCATATGCCCCCCTCATCCAGTTCCAGTGGGTTTTATTGACTCACGACCGATCGACTTCCCGCTGCAAGGTGTACCGCACAACTCGCCCTTGAATATTCTCGGAGTGAACTTTAATTCGATGCAATAGAACGCGGCGTACGGGGCGGTTGGCGACGAGTCGTATTCGTTGTGACACGAGTGGCAAGGCGCGGATTTCGGAGCTTCGCACTTCGCGCCTTTGCCCGTCCCACGCCCTCAGCAACGCTACGATGTGTACATGCATATGTCCCTGTAAATATTGTTACCCTTATCGTCCAGTATTACTAGATGCCCGGATCGAATTATTTTGTAAAGATCTATCTCTTAACATAGATTGTATTGAAGTTAATGTGATACTGGGCGTTGAACATGTCCACAAGGCAGGCGTCTTTTTGCCATAATCATTAATGTATGTTTAGATCTCAGTAGACTCTTAAGTTTATTAATTGGTAAATTTAAAAATCAGCTTTTCGTATTTACTATCTAGGTTAGGGTGAAGAAGAAATCAAATGTGATAGCAAATTTATAATGTTACATACTCTAGATCCCCACTCGATGACATCACTACTGATCTTGAACATAGCAAGTTAGCTTTAATATAGTATGAATGTCAGGTACATTCAGTTTCTGAACTACCTCTATCTATAAGTATTCTAATATTTCACACGAGGGTTTATCTTATTAGCATCCACAATGCTGCCGTCATAATGAAAAAAGGCACAACTAACATTTTATAAATATGGAGAAAATCGAGTTTAAAATTTTTGTTGGTTTTTGGCAAAAAATATCGACTATAATATTATTTTTCGAAAATAGATGCATTCAAATATATTCATTTTTACGATTCCTATACGACTATTGAATAATATTTATTTTATTTTATTGGCATTTATAAATAATCAACATTTTCTCTTTCAATGTAGCATAAAAAATGTAGTAAAATTATTATTATTACGAATAGAGGGCATAACTAACCAAATGTGCCTTTTCATTATAATTATACAAACATAAAAGAACAGAGATAAAACATTGGAGGAATATTTCTAAAACTTTTATTGAAAAAGTTAACAAAAATCATCGTCTCGAAACTTAAAAAAAATTTTACTGTAACTTAACAAATTAACATTAATTAACTGTTATTATCAGTCATCAAAGAACTTATTTGATTTTTATTATGTAAAAATCACAGTAAAGATATTTGATTGGTTTCTAATTTAAGAAATAATGCTTGCTACATAATACTAACGTTTGTTAAATATGGCACTTAACTTTTAAGGTTTACAATAATTTCGACCATGTCCTATAATCAACATTTATCAAAAATAGAATAAACAAAAACTATTTCAAAAGTTCAAAAAAACTATCTTACAATAAAGTTATCACAATCGTCAAGGCACTTATAATTAGAATTTCGGTCAAAATGAGTACACTTAAAAAATTATTAGTCTTCATAAGTTTGAGTAAGATCAGCTGAGCTATCGTTTACGGGCAAGGTTTCCCAAAAATTCCTTCTATTAGTAGGCATAAGTGGACCAAGTTTAGTGAGTATAGCGGATTTTCTTTCACTCGTTATACCTCTCGGAGAAATTTTTTGGCGTGGTGCTGGAATGCCTTCTTTTAGATTTTTTAACTTAAGGAAATCTAATTCAAAGTACCCATCAGTGCCATGGCTATTTTTGTAAAATAATAACTTGAATCCTCTGCGAAAATTAGCCTCGGCAATTCCATTCATGTAAGCTCGAGGGCTGGAATTTTTTAATTTAAATATCGAAGAGCAGTCTTCAAAATCAAAAAATTCTTGAATAATCATCTTCTTAACTATTGTGTGAGAGCCAGTATTAGATACAGCTTTGCAGAAATCCTCAAAGTCATAAATGCGTTTTTTTGTTTTAAGAGATCGTTCCACTCTGTGGTGGAATTCATCAGCAGCCATGAATGTATGACCAACTTCCAAATAGCGCAAAGTAATGCTTTCAAAACTAACTTCGGCAGAGTTTACCAAATATGTCAAATAAGAATAAAGTGTCCAATTTTTGTTTTGTGCTGCACAGTTATCAAGCCACAAAATTACGTGCTTTAGGTCTCGGTTTTCTATAAAAAAAGCCCTGAAGCAACTTACAATGTACTCTTTTTTTCTGCCAGACGTTCCTTCGTGCCACAAAACGGGTAAAGTGTGACCAACTTCGTGTATTTTTTTGTCTCCTATCAGTAGCTCTGGTTGAAAATAATAAGCCGCGGGCAGAACATCACTGTTTTGAATACTTCCATACGTGGTAACATGATAATTTTTTCCAGGTCTACGGCAAAAATAAGAGTGTCGGCTTTATTCTTTTTCTGAGTCTGATTATCAGCATCTTCTTCGTACTTCTTGCGAGCTAAAATATACTTTTCATGATGTTACTCATAATCTTTACATGCTTTACAACCTCTGTGTCTGATTTCTGAGTTAGGGTTATGAATCGTAAATTTTTCGCATAGCTCACACTCCTCGTGGCCTAACTGAGCAAATGAGATATTAAGTTCTTTTACAATTTTTCTGTAAAAACCGTACGATACTTTCGTTTCAGGCACATTTTCACAGTAATGGTCATACATGATTCGAATACTGAGATCAGAAGGCAAATACTTTTTGTTAGGGGCATGTTCACGCCTGTAATGGGACACAGCAGGACGGAATGACATTATATGCTCCTTGATTTTAGTATTATCGATTTTTCTTGGATTTGAGTTGTGACCGCGACCATCAATGAGGGGTTCTGGGTACGATTTAGGATCATAATTACGATCAAGAATATTTCTTACAGCCTTACAATTATTTTTGTTGTAGCCTAGAGTGGTTAGGAAAAAAGTTTTGCATACTGGAATATTGTCACCATTTTCATCTGCCAAAAAATATGATACGGTTTTAGACCGTGTGTAATATTTACTTTCTTTGTCATCATTTTCTCTGTTTTTAGGTCTATCCGGTTTTCTTTGACTAGTATGACTCAAAAAGAAGCATTTTTGTTCCATCCATGTTATTTTTTGAAAATTGCTATTTACTATCTTGCGATACTCTTCTGAAAAACGTGCTGAACACTTTTTCTTGCAGATATCCTCGCGGCATCCAGGTTTTACAAAATATTTGAGTTTTATTTTTTCCTCAGTCTTCAGTCTCTTTCGATCCTTTATGCTAACGTTATAAGTTTTGCGCTTTCTAATAGTTCCTTTCTTAGTCAGTTGTACCGTTGTTTCTTCATCTGAGTATTCCGGTGATTCTAAAATTATTATTTTTGAAATTGGCTGCGAACATGGTATAAAGTCTTCTGAGTCAAAGCCATCACTATCGCTGATTTTTTCCCGTGCTTTTGGTAATTCGTAAGTTTTAATCCAATACTGAGTCATCAGAATGAAAATCAGACCCTGTATCTAGCAAATAGTGCGGCACCACAACATGCTCCGAGCTTGATGCTTGCACCGAGTTTTGAATGCCACTGCTTGTTGACGGCACGATAGACCACTCGGCTACAGAAATATCGTTGCGTAAAGCAGCACTAACTAATTTTGCACTTCGTGATTGCATAGTGCTGAAAAAAGAGTAAAGTTTATTTCGTATTATTGTTTTTGATAAAAATAAACGGGAGGTAGTATAAATTCCGTAAAAGTAAACTGACTCATTAATAAGCACGGGCAGTTATGAGACGTTTTACGAACACAGGCAAGGTTTTTTTCGATTCTTTTCATGTCAGTGAATACACGGGCAGATGTCAGTTAACAAATAATTGCGAGTTTCGTATTCTAAATTATTAACGATACAGTATACCGACTAAAAATGTCATATTATTTTTAACTTAATTGCAATTAATCCCTCAAAAATTTCGTCAATAAATACTAGTAAATTCATATTACCGTGTCACAAAAGAAATTATACATAATAAAGGCATGCAAATAAGTAACTAAAACTTACCAGCATACCACTCACAGACAAGCGTGGACTCACCGAGACACGTCAGGCATAACTGGCGAGATTCGCTTCGTACCTCGACCCCTTCTCTTCACCTATAGTCAAACATTTTTGGTAGCAAAGGCATAACTGGTAGTTGTGACTTTTCTTTTAAATTAAATGTTAAGGTCTAGTATTGGTAAGCTTTTAAATCTAAGAGCACAACTAGCACATACCTAATATGTAACGCAGCATGCCTTTTCTACTAAATAAATTACATTTATTGTGATACAAATAAAAGTCACATGCATGCATATGTGACCTTTTGATGTACTATAATTCAGATGTGCTTTTTTTTACGTACAAAAACTTAAAAAGTGGCTCAGTTGTGCCTTTTGAGCTAACGGTATTTCTGTTTATCTTGTTCCTAAAATTATACAAAAAATATTGGCAGATGGACCTTTTTTTTCTGATTCCGAGTATGTATATAACTCATTTTCGGAAAAAATGTTAGTTGTGCCCTTTTTTCTTATGACGGCAGAATGACCTATTGCATAATTTAACCAGTGATAGTAGATTTTTTTAAATTACCTATTTTTGTTGTGGAAGCAATACTAGGGAGTAATCGGTTTATTAGTAAATATTAGTAGATGTGTTCAATATTTTGTATTATCTTGGCTTGTGATTTACTCTCATTACAAAACTTGGTTTTTAATTGGTCTCATATTTTAAGTTAGAGACCGTTTACTGAAAATATCTGAGGAATCAGACAACAAATGTAAACTTTCGCGAAAACTGTGGTGCTTTGGCTAAAGGGACTTCTTTCGCGAATAAAATCGTCTTAATCAGAAACTATCAATAACCCACATTTTGTAATAAACCGATTATGATTAACAAATTTAGTTTATTCATTCCCGATTTATGATCATTTAAAAATTATAAAACATCACTAGTGTTTTATTTGCTTTGTATTTATTTATTTTCTATTTGTTAAACCACATCAATTTATATAAATCCAAAAATATTTGATCAATTCTTTAAGGTATAAGCAAATGCCGCGCTAGTCGTTATTTATGAGTTTTTTGGAAGCTATCTACTTGTTATTAAAAATATATATATGAACTAAATAAAATTTTTACATAATCTTGATTCGATAATAGCCAATTCCAATTTTTTTTAAAAGGAGTAAATACTTGATGAATCGTCCTACAACTAAAATCATAGAAATGCGAAATAATTATTGATGACATGCATCTCCTCATAAAGTAAGCATTGTTAAATTTTGCGATTGACACTAATGGATAGACAAATTAATAATTAACATTTTGATCTATTTAATTTTTTCAAAGAACTAAAATTCGATTTTATAAAGCAAATATTTTAAAATTCGATCGTTTTTCTTACGCGATATATTGTAGCGAGAGCGCGTGGAATGTGTACGACCAAACGCTCAAGATCTTTCGCTAGTAGTAGCGCCTTAAACTTAAATTGTAAATGAGCCTAGCAACTCACCTAAGTGACAACAGACAAACACACAGGAAGAAAACATTGTCATCCCTCATTCCTAAAGGTTTGGTAGAATGCCTCGTAGTTTGCAACTAATTTCTTTTCTTATCTTTATTTTTGGAACAGTTCCCCTTGTAATTTTACAATATTATTAGAATTACTCTATATCCCGTAACATAATAGACGTTAGATTAAAGAATGGTGTGATAATTTTGTATGTCCATAATTGATGATTTCTGTATTATACATTTCACAAATGTGCTTAAGTTTATTTTAGTTCTTAAAATGAGTTGCCTAAGTATAAAATAATAATCCCGCATCTTTATTTGTTATTTACACTACACTATACTTATATACACTTGCTGTATTTAAAGATAGTGTTATTATTATATCATCACCATTCTGTGTAATTTGTTTTTCAAATAGTTTCTTAATAAAGAAAATGAAACACAGTCATAAGAATGAAGGTTATTAAATATGGATTATGTACTTAATCCTTAATTTTTAAAAATAACCTATTTTAACATATCTTTTTACTTAATTATTCATGTTATTCCCCAATTATATATATGTACTACGCACTAGATTTCGCGATCCGAATACTCACTTTGTTCGACTGAACTGTACTGAAATCTGTATACCTTACTTTAGCGTAACTGACATTCATGCAGTGTACGCGCGTACGGAACGGCTCTAATAATACGAGAATACGAATCAAAGTGTGAACCTGGACGTAAATAGCAATTCGGTAGTCAAGAAAGCTTAAATAAATACATAAAAATTCATTTTCCTTTGCTTTATTTATTTAACTATTAGTAAATTTTGAAGTTACAACTGTGTGTCATATCTACGATGGAATGAAATGCGTAAGCGCCTTGAAATTCCTGACGCTTACTACTATTTGGTCGCGTAAAAACTATAACGATAAGCGATCTATGTTTAATAGTTTGGTTAGACAATATAACTAATTTCCAGCGCAGCAGCAAATGCATCGGTTCATGGCCCGCTCGCCCGGCGCCAGCCCTTCGATGTCTTGAAGTTGCGACACATTTTTTGTTTGGAATAGCTTTTCTAGTGCGAAGTACTTATAACTGAATGTTATTCCCCTATTGTATAACATGAAACTTTTTTTCTATAAAATATTTGCTAGGTATTGTGTAACCTCTACTCATTTCAGTATATGAAAATAGTTTCTATCAATTGGCAGTAATTTTCATATAAATTTTCAAATTTATCTTGAGTTGTAGTTGTCCAGTATTTGTAGCATTTATTATGTCACATTTACATACGGTCTCTAACACACTAGTAGTTTTACCAGTGTAATAAGTTATATTGCAAATAAGAAGCAGTTGTGGCCTCAATGTAGCGAGTATAAATTTTGTAATAAAGATAACACAATTTAATGTATTTTATATAGGGGTTCATGTTTGTACGCGCATATACTTATTTGTAATTGTTAAGGATTTTTGTAACAATCATTACTTATATGAAAGAGATGTTGACTTGAACGTTACATTAGCAGTATGTAGCGCGTAAAATAACAACTAGCACTTATTGTAACTTGCATTTATAGAGTGTAGGTAGTATTTATTGAATAAGACATTTATAGAGTGCATGCCGGTATTTGAAACTGGACGAATGTATGTGATTGCCAAGAGCGAACTACACATAGATAAGTATACCAAATAAACCAGTATATTCCTGACAAATTTGTACGGTGCGTGTACATAGTTGCCGGAACTGCTAGATCGTTCTTCTCTTTTGAGCAGCTTATTTCCATAATACTAAAATACCAAGTAGTTTGTACGTTTTTACGTATTACTCTATTATATTTTTAATAAAAAGCATTAAAAGAATTTTACTAGTTATGTAGGCAACCAATTGGTTTTAATAAAAAGCCAGTATTTGCCAAATGTATTTCTGGAAACTTAGCTATTTTACTTAATATTATTATTGAAATAATCAATGTGAAAGCACAAGTACCCCTAGCATTTTTCTACAGATTAATAATTATGAAGTTACAGCAATATTTCGTTTTGAAATCTACCAGACTGCTAATATTATTCGTCGGTGAAAGTACTTTTGTATTTATTACAATAAACGAATATTATTTTACGGTTACTTTTATTCTTATTAACTAACGTTATCATTGTGCAGCAATTGTATTAATGTGACAAAGATATACGCTGAGTTTTTTCTTGTGAGTTCTTAAACCTTCAATAATTTTGGAATCGTCAAATTTCTAAATACAAAGTATCTTCCTATGTGTCGGTTAAATCAAATAGCAATGATTTGTGATTTTGTGATGATGTCACAAAGCAATAAGTGCATAATATGACTTCATGAAGTTGATTTTTGAGAATAAATAAAATTTACTTTAACAGCATATTTTTCGTGCTCTCGTAATTAGTAGGAACGATATCCTTGCATGAAAAAATAAATAAAGTAAATTAAGATAAAATATTTTAACAGCGACGGTAGATATTTCGGTCATAGATCTAAGTGTTGTAATTCCCCTCGTGACATTTATAATCTACTTAATATTGGTATAATACATAGGTTAAAATATGTGTAAATAAATTTATTCTTATTTTTCCTTTCTCCTTCTTTAACCGCCTAACGTTTTTTTTGTAATACAATACAGAAATATTTCTTTATTTTTTTGCTACAGGACCTACTTTGATTATTTTATTTAACTGCAGCATATGCTTTGAAACAATATTTTGCTTTTTTTCTTGTGATTTCGCGTATTCGCGTGATTCTCGTTACAGAATTAAATTGATTATAGAAAATGTATTATATCGAATATCTTACAACTTTAATACAATTGCAATTGTAATAGAATTATTAATAATTACTATTGATTACTTTATTCCTACTTCTTAAGTTAGAATTATTTTTAGATTATATTATTACAACCATGCTTTTATGAGTTTTTTGTGCGAAGATCTCTAATTTTCGACTGATTTTTTGTACTGTTTGTTACACAAACTTCTAATAAGCTAACTTCTCCTTAAGGAGGAGAAGGAAACTAAAAAATATTTATTTGTATGTAATAAATTTACAATTTTGTACTTATTTTTACCATATAATTATGTCCTTAGTGCGTTAAGAGTGATCAAACAGGCAGTATTATGTAACAATCTTTTGCTAGACATTTAGGCGACTTATTAGAGGTTAGTGTGAAACTTATAATTTGGATAAAGAAATAATTAGGTAGGCAACATAGCTGCTATTAAGTAACAGTCAATGCATCCAATCACAACGTGTAAATAAAAGTGTACATATTTGAATGAAGAATTACTTCTAATTTATAAATGTGATAGAGATATTTTCTGAAATATACCTATTACTACTGATCCAGATCGTTTTCTAGTGCCATTATGTAACAAAGCAATGAATATTGGAATTAATTTCATCCCACTTTAATAACTGTCACTGCAACTACAATGTGAACTACTACATAATTCTACTTATTTATTATGATATACTTAATTATTTCTTTTACATAATTTGTTACCATTTTTTCTTTTCAAACCTTTTATATGTATTATTTTTCCGTTATAAT